ACTTGGCTGGAAGGAGAATACTCAGCAGGTAGAAAGACCGAATCTATTCTACTGCACAAAAAAAAAGTAGCGGAGGGCCTGCGCTTCTCACAAAGATCGAATATAGCGAGGCAGAAGGGAAAAGAAGGTTAATTTTGTTATAAACTGGCATATTTTAACAAAACAAAAACAAACTTGACAGATGGCGCTGCAGCTTTCGCAGGCATTCGAGAGGGAGCACTTGCTTTAACATCCGATGGCAATGGTTCACCACCACGAGCTTCCAGAGGATCGTATTCGTGTCCATCAAAATTGGCATCGAAAAATTTTTTGAACCATTGCAAAAACTCGAAATTGTCCTCAAAAATACAAGCTATGCATACACACGCTGAACAGCACTCCCATTTACAGAATAGCAAAGTTCAGTTAAAATTAAAAAATTATATGTCAAAACTACCGAGACTTTTCTCATCGAAACCGATATCAATGCAGTGCTTACAGGAACGCTAAGCAACTATTTCAGGTCAATCGGCCCAGAGCTGCCCGCCTCCACTCAATATCGTCGCCTGCCTGAGTATATGTGCGTCACTTCTTTTAAGGTTCCCCCCTCCCCCCCTTCCATCCAAGTGGCCACTTACTTTCTCAAGTATACCGCTCCCTGATACTTGACATATGCCGCTTACCAGCAAAGAATTTCACTTTTTCGCCTGTTCGCAATTCTGTCCATCGCCCATCTGACGCAGAGTCTAATTGCCTTCACAGTCACGAACAGCTACCAATCGATCGTCACAACGCGGGCCAAAAGACCGCAGAGTACTGGGCACCCTGTTTTCGCTTAATTTCATATTGTTCCCCCTACCGCGTCATGCAACGTACACTTTGCGTTTTTGTGCCGTGTGCATGGCTGTGTAACCTTTACCGCACTATCACGTACTGGTCATAACGCGAAATCTTTGTCAGAACGAATGTCCTCCTGGAAAGCTTCCAGCTGAAGTATTCGTTTCTACCGTGCCAATACTACCTAATCTGTTGCCATTTCCCCAGCATGACGCAACGAATGGGTAGGCAATTTTGCCAATGAAAATTAGTAAAGAGCAATAAACTGGCAGTGAAATTGTGCCTAGTG